GTTCTTATGGTCCATTCCTAGAAACAAGTAAGCAGTAGTAGTATTTCCTAGATATATATAGTAAGTGACATAGGGATTAATTTTTATTCTTCAGGTGTTTATGCCTAACTTCATGAAGCTTATATTCTAGAGAAGTTTTTTTTTTTTCATTTTCTTTTGTTTTTTCTTTTCTTTTCTTTTTCTTTCTTTCTTTTGCTTTTTTTCCTGGATACAGGGTCACATTCTTGTCACCCAAGCTGGCTAAAGTGCAGTGGTGCAATCACAGCTCACAGCAGCCTGGACCTCCCAGGCTCAGGTGATTCTTCCACCTCAGCCTGCCGAGTAGCTGGGACTACAGGTGCCCACCACCATGCCTGGCTAATTTTTTGTATTTTTTTTTTAGTAGAGACGGGGTTTTACCCTGGTAGCCAGGATGGTCCCCATCTGACTTTGTGATCCGCCCTCCTCGGCCTCCCAAAGTGCTGGGATTACAGGCGTGAGCCACCGCGCCCAGCCCAAATCATTCTGAGTATTAATTCTCTCTTCAACATTTCTGAGGATTGTCCCATTCTTACCTCAAATGTTTTGTTGTTGTTTTTCAGGATGTAGCCTTGTTTGAAGTGCCCTACTGAGTATTGACACTTTAAACTATTGAAGCACTCTAAATTTTCATCTTTACTATTAAATATGACCCTCTGTCGATACATATATTTCACTTGACTAAACATATTTATCAGAATAACCATCCAACATGTTTATGACCATAACCCAATGAGGCAGGGCAAAAGACCCTTATTCATTTTCCATTTCCATGTAACAATGAAATATCACTGTCAAACAAATTTGATGATGAGTCGTTTATATAAATATTTTGCTTTATAATTAGAATTAAGCATAATTCATGTATATCTAGTTACATGAAAATTTTAGGTCAGAATTAACTGTTGCAACACGGGTGAATCAGTATTCTGTAGAGATAGCCAAACAACTTAATTAGTGACAAAAACCAATTGTACTTTATAATTTAAAAAAAAATGAGAATAGTGAGTAGGTCTGGATTGAACAACTCAGCTGCACTGATGTAACTACAGTCATCGTGTCGCAATCTAGACAGGAAGGAGAAGAGGCCTGAGGGCTAACCTCCTAGTTGAGTCAGCCCTTTGCTTACTGCATACCTGATGTAAATGACGAGTTGATGGGTGCTGACGAGTTGATGGGTGCAGCACACCAACATGGCACAAGTATACATATGTAACAAACCTGCATGTTATGCACATGTACCCTAGAACTTAAAGTATAATAATAATAATCAATAAATTAAAAAAAAAAAATGCTCTCCATGCATCTACATTTGCTTACATTTCATTGGACACAAATTCCAGCCCAGTGACTTTGGACAATACCATTAATTCTTGGAACCTGAAGTTTTTCATTTGAAGGATGGTTATCATACTTAACTGGCATCATTAAAAGGGTTAGAAATGATGAATATGATATGCCTAGCTAAGAGCCTAGCCTTCAGTACATTGTAACTGTGATTATTATTAATACATTTTTCCAATAATGATACATTGCTTAAGTTGCTTTTGGACTTCTGGAATGGCCTTCAGAACCTGAGTCAAATGAACCGTATTATTTATTGAATTTGAGCAAGGTTATAAGTTCATTAGCAGGTCGTCCTATCTTGTTTTTACACATGGGCTATAGTTTTATATGTGTACAAGTTGTATTTATTGTCAGGTTATTAATGGTAGAAATAAACATAGTAAAACAAAAAAAAAAAAACAAAAAAACCACAAACCTCCAAAAAGGTGCTATTTGCTAAATTCTGTGTAAGTAGTTTCAATAAATGCTAAATTTTCAGACTTTTTTTTAGAAGAAAAAGAAAACAGAATACAGCTAGAGCCAATGCCTCTGCCTTTAGTCTTGATCATATAATTTTTCTTAATGCTTTAGAAGATTATTGCGTGAACTTCATAAGTGTCTTTACCACTCAAATGAATGCATTTGGTTTTCCATCTGCTTCCATGTCAAGATTATTTTTCCACAGACTTAAAAAAAAATTTAACCCTGCATTTACTTATGTTATCTTAGAGATAACATGGTTATGAGTTATGAGATAATTGACAGTTGACTTTATTATGTGTATTTCTGTAGATACTTCTTTTTTGATGTCATCTTTAACTGTGTCCAATTTGATATTAGAATTGCTAGGCCCATGTTATAATTAAGGTCTCCTTAACCTAACTTAAGTTTTGATGCAAGTGACTTTTGTAATTTCACAGAATTCTGCAAGATTTTCTGTTTTAAATAGTACTTTGAGTTTCAAGTGACAGACATAGAGTTAAAGATTGCATATTTGAGAATTTAGGTGAGAAACCAGAGACATTAGAAGACAATTGATAATAAAGTTGCACAAACTGCTTTTATATTCAGTAGAATGTATAACCTGGTTTGCATTTGTTTTCACATTTTTTTAACTGTTATTGCAGCTGGATATTGCGTGATCACATATATACTTGGAGTTGGAGACAGGCACTTGGATAACCTTTTGCTAACAAAAACAGGTAACAATTAATGGCTACCAGTAGACATACATTGTATTTGCCCATGGTTTTTACCCCTGAATCTATTTACTAACAAGATAAATTGTGGCTGAGCGCAGTGGCTTATGCCTGTAATCCCAGCACTTTGTGAGGCCAAGGTGGGCAGATCACCTGAGGTTGGGAGTTTGAGACCAGCCTGACCAACATTGAGAAACCCCGTCTCTACTAAACATATAAAATTATCCGGGCGTGCTGCACATGCCTGTAATCCCAGCTACTCTGGAGGCTAGGACAGGAGAATTGCTTGAACCTGGAAGGCGGAGGTTGCAGTGAGCTGAGGTCTTACCATTGCACTCCAGCCTGGGCAACAAGAGCAAAACTCCATCTGGAAAAAAAAAAAAAAAAAAAGATACATAAGTGAAGATAAATCAGAGAGTCTTAAAAATTCCTTTAAATGTTACCTTGCAAGAACATTTAGGGATAGTCCTTTCTCTTGTAAGAATTACTTTAGTAGTAATCCTACAGATGGTCATTTTGCACACACTGCTATACTGGAAATGCCTCTTTTTATGGAAAGCCCATAATGGATACAAGCAGCTTAGTCTCTTACTGTATAGCTCTAGTTAGATTGTTAAAATGTCCTTTCTCTTACAAAGTGTGCTTAATTCACTTTAATATCTACCTTCAATTATTTGCTTTTCCCCTTGGGGTTCTGTGGGATAATCATTCTCAGCGCCCTTTGTCCTGACAACTCTTTAGCCCTATGTGTTTATCTTTATGCAGACAGCTTCCAAACTTACAGCTTTTTACCTCAGTCCGTTTCATTACCTTCAAATTGAAATATCGAACTGCTTATTTGAAATTGTCATTATATATGGCCAGTTGTAAAAGTTTATCCTTTCCTCTACTACCTACCTAAAACCTGCTTCTCACCTCATTTTCCCGTTTCAATAGATAGCAACATCACCTACACAGTTGTTCAAGCTCTAGACCTCAAAGTCATTCTTAATATGTCTTTTGGCCTCATCTCATATACTGAACCTATTAACAAATCTTGTCTACTCCTCAACTCCAAAATAGATCATGAAGTTACCTACTGTCTCTTCATTTTTACTACTTTCACCCCACTTGAAGCAACCAATACATGTTGCCTAAACAATTTGAATGAAATCTGAACTCTTTACTGGGGCCTTGTGGCTTGTCCAGGCAGGCTTTTGTCTGAATGTCAAACCATTCCTGCCTCAGACAAGAGCCTTTGTTATTTTCTCTTTCTGGAAAGTTCTTTATTCAGGTCTTTGCAGGGCTGACTTAAGTTGAAATTCTAATGGCATAACTTTAGAGAAGCCCTTTCTAACTCTTTGATCTGTAATAACATATCTGCCTCTTCCTCCA